ATGTTTTGTCGCATACATTGGATCAACGTTGATTTATATACATTAAATCAACATCGAAATATATACATTGGATCAACGTTGGGTTTAAAACGTAAAAAAAATCAACTTTTTGCGATGTTTTTACATACATTGGAAAAACGTTGATTTATATACATTGAATCAATGTCGAGATATATACATTTATGAACAAAAAGATTCTTGACCTAATGGTTTATGACTTATGGTAATAGTTGCGAAGTGTTTTTTACAGTTCCATGCTATTGCGCATGCGGTTTTCAATAATATTGATGTAAAGTTATTTCAAAGATATGTCATTTACAATTTTTTAGAAATATTTAGTACACCATGGAAATCGAAAGTGAAAATAACCTGCAAAACATTCTTGAGATTATTATTAACAATAAAATTGGTACGTACAATTTTAAAGTTTACCGTTAAGATGCCATAACTAACGTCCAAATCAAACCTAACTCATGCCAAGATACAAAAATAACAAATGAAGTTTTTAAAGGATTTATACATAAAGCCTTACATTTATGCTCTTATAATAATAGTTAAGAAGAGATTTCTGATAGATGTTTTAGAAAATGGTTATAAAAAGACTGAAAAACATTGTAAAATACCACTATAGACAACATAAGTAATAAAAAACAAAATATCAACAATTAAAGATTTCATCAAAAAATACTGTATCTTTACGGTGAATTTCAGAAATTAGCCCAAAGTTAAGAAAAATTTTGAAAAAAACAGGTTACACACTAGTTTTTAAATAAACAAAACATTTACTACATATTTTAACCACAAAAAATAACCTACTCTATCAATTCTTATCCAGGTGTGTACAAACTTAAATGCGGAGTTATTTCTTTTTAGAAACCTACAATGATATATATCATTGTAGGTTTCCAAAAAGAAATAACTCCGCATTTAAGTTTGTACACATATTTATATTATATAAATATTATAATATAATAGTATATATTATATAAACTAAATGTCTAATTTGCGGGATTTTATTGGACAAAAAATAAAGCCGCTTTTGTGTTTATAAATATAGTCCGCCATTTGTAAAAAGGGCAAAAGCCGACGAGTAAAATAAAAATTAAAATTGCAAATTAGGAGAATCAAAAGTTCCCAAAATAAAGATAATTTGAAAATAAGTTTTAATAGTTATAAAATACTTCAAAAAGTTTTTTGATAAGTCTAGGTTTATTAAAGAGTATTATAATTCATAAAAGTTCTTCAAAAGCGTCTGTCGCAGGGCTGTGGAGTCGGAGTCGGAGTTGCGGAGTTGCAACATTTTTAGTGGAGTCGGCTTTAAAAGCGTCAGTTGTTTCACTTTTCTATTCAAAACGTAAATCCTTATCTAATCGAAAATGAGTTTAGAAAACATAAAATATTTTTTTATACGTATACTAATTTCCATTTCCAACACTTTTATATAAATTTTAAACACTTTCCAATTTCCATCACTTTTATATAAATATTAATTATATTTAAAATATATTTACTTCATTATTTTTTTAAAAAAGTTAAATAATATTTGTTTACAAATTTAATCCACCATTTGTAAAAAGAACTAAAGCGGTTTTACTTTTCGGATCTAAGTTCTGTACTCTTTTGAATGTTATTTCTGATCAAATTGACAACCCCTTTCTCTTTATCATTTAGCCAATATTGTTGTTGGTGGTGACAGTGACTCTGCAGGCGTTAAGGCCACAACTTTAGCACAAATAGTCAACTTTCCAACTCTAGACAATCCGAATCATTTACCTTTTCAACTCAACTTATATCTAGTTTCTGATCTTAGTCAGTGCTCAGATTCCCCACATTTACCTTTAAGTGCTTCAGATCACGGTTTAATTTCTCTAAAATTATTATCTCATTTTTCTTCATCGTCAGAATCCCCTGATCCTCTTACCACTTACAACTACCTTAAAGCTGAATGGGACCTGTTCCGTGATTTTCTTTGTAATGACACTTGGGTAAAAATCTTTCATCTTCGCGCTAACAAATATGATTCTTACGTAACTTCTTGGATTCAGGCTGACATAGAATCCTTTATTCCCTCTCAACGATTCTAAATCAAGCCTCTTTTTCATGGTTTTCCTCACATTGTGCTGCTGCAATTTCCAATCGTAACCATTACTTTCATCAGCTATTTATCAGCAAAATAGTTCTCCAGAAAACAGACGTCTGTTTACTATTGTTAGAAACCATTGTAAAAAGATTTTATCTAACGCCATTGCCCGTTAATCTCAGTTCAAAAAATCTCGTATTTCATTTCAAAAATTAGACTCTCGTGACTTCTGAAGAATCTTTAACAGCATCAACAAAAAGGGTAAATCTGTTATTCCATCTTTTTTGTATGGTCACCTCACCTAAAGTTAAAGCTGAATTGTTTGCTCATCGATATCATCTCTTGATATCTTCGTATATCTTGATATCTTCGTATATCGTATATATAGATATCATCGATATCTTCTCATCGATATCATCTCTTGATTCCACTAGTCGCATTCGACCTGAGGTTGCCGACAAACGGGTTAAGCCATTGCTTGACCTTTGTATCACTCCAGCTTCTGTATCTAAAGTAATTTTCTGCTTAGATTCTTCTTCAGCTTATGGTCCGGAGCTGTTATCTATACTTTCAAAACTATTTTACAAGTGCTTATCAGAGTCTTGTTTTTCATCCTGATGGAAAGTGGCATCTGTTTTCTCTATTTTCAAAAATTCTGGAGAGCAATCTGTCTTGTTTAACCACCTTCCCATTACAATCTTATTATCTTACTATCGTAAGCAAGGTTTTTGAATCTTTAATTAACAAACACTTAATCTCTCATCTTAATTCTAGTAATTTACTTTCTGATCATTATTATGGATTTCAACCTTCTCGTTCTACAGTTAATTTATAAACGGTAATAACTGGTAGGTTTTATTGTCCATTAGTTAGATGGGGAAAGGCTTAGGATATTGCTTTCGACAGTTTGACATCCTGGTCTTCTTTATAAGCTATCTTCTTCCGGTCTATCTGGTAACATCTTTAATATTATTGAATCCTTCCTTAACAATCGTAATATAAAAGTTGTCCTCGATAGACAGCATTGAATTTTAACTCAGATAAAACTCTTTTTTTTTTCAGCTTATTGTTATGGCAATAATGTAAATCTTCCCATATTCATGAATGGTAATGTACTCAATGAGTTATCTACCCTTCTTTTTCTAGGATTAGCCCTTACTTCTGATCTTTTTTTAAAAGTTTATATTAAATTAATTGCAAAGTTAGCATCCGCTAAAGTTGCATCTCATTATTGTGCTCACCACTTTCTTACTCAGGATTCCATTCTTTATCTTTATAAACCTCAAATCCGTGCTTGTATGGAACATTGTTGCCATCTTCCGGATCTTCTAACAATGCCCTTTCTCTTATAGATTGGTGAAAAAACGCATAGTAAATATAGTTAATATTATATACCTGTTTTTGCAGCCAACCTCCGACCATTATCACATCATTGTAATGTTGCTTCTCTTTCTCTTTTACTATAAATACTATAATATAGTAATAGTCTTTGGCGCCATCTAGTAAAATTTATTCTCGTGTTACTAGTCATTCAATGAAGTCTCATCATTTTACTGTAACTGTTCCTAAGTGCTCCAAAAACTCTTATTTGTCTAGTTTTTTTCCTTGAACATCAGTCCTTTGGTTTTCGCTTCCTTTCTCTTGTTTTCCTGATTCATATAATTTGCAATACTTTAAGTCGTCTTTAAATCGTTATTTTGCTCTATAAATTTCATCATTTATCTTCCAGTTCCGCTTCTAACTCTAATAGTGGTTGCTTACAGCCTTGTTGGAAGTTAAGACATCTAGTATGAATTGATAACGAGGGCATCTATACTTTCTAAATTATAAATTATATCTAAATTAAAACAAAAAGAGTCACATCTAACGTAGAAGGTTGTATATATACTAAACTCTGTGAAAATGTCTTTTAAAATTTAGCAACAAATAAGTTTATTATAATATATAAGAATGTAAAATGTATATAATAGTGTAAGAATATATGTAAGAATAACATTATATAAAAAGTATTACATAAAACATATTACATAAACGTGAACAAGTGCGAACTGGCATAAGTGCCAATTGGCATTAATGCACCAAAAGAATTTCCAAAGATTGACATAAGTGCGAACTGTCATAAGCGCGAACTGGCATAAGTACGAAGCTTTTGTAAAAACTAACACATGTGCGAACTGGCATAATTGCGAATTCGCACGAGTGCGCCAAACAAACTTGCAAACATTGGCACAAGTGCGAATTGGCATAAGTGCGAATTGGCATAAGTGCGAATTGGCATAAGTGCGAAGCAGTTACAGAAACTGGCATAAGTGTGAACTGGCATTAGTGCAAATGGGTATAAGTGCGCCGAATAAATTTACAAACATTGGCATAAGCGCGAATTGGCCTAAGTGCGAATCGTCTAAAGTGCAAAGCAGTTATAAAGACTGGCATAAGTGCAAACTGGCATATGTGCGCCGAATAAAGTTGCAAATATTGGCACAAGTGCAAATTGTTATTTCGCTCTTGTGCTAATTCGAACATGTGCCAGTTCGCACTTAAGCCAATGTTTGCACCCTCCCGAATATAAAAACCCTTGAGCCGATTCCTCCAATCAGACTTTTTTTTGGAAATTTCTGGAAAAATACTTTGAGCATGCGCAAAGAATGTTAGACTGAATGGGAACTGTTTAAAATTATAGAACTGAATCTCAGTTCTATAATTTTAAACAATTTTCTTTGATCCCGTTTTACTCTACATTTTACTGACCCATAATAACAAATACAAGTTTGTTGATCGGACGTTAATGGAGTGAGAGAGTTAACGTGAGAAAATCAACAATTCTTTTGAGTTAATTTATTATATACTTTTCTGAAATTTGTTTTTTTAAAAAATTACATAAATTTATCTTATTAAAAATTTTTGCATAATACAAACCATTATATTATTTGTTGGTAAATTTATATAGATGAAAGTATCACTAAATTGACCCTAAAAATAAAACAAAAAGTTATAAATGGAAGTTAATAAAAAAAACGAATCTTTCACAGATTTTCTTTGCCCAATTTGCTTACAAATACTTATCGAGCCGGTACAGATGCCTTGCAAACACGAACTTTGCATGGATTGTTTTAAACAACATGTTTACAATACGAGTTTAACATGTCCTATGTGTCGTCTGCGTATTTCTGTTTGGGCTCGTAAAAATACTAAAACAAATAGTTTAGTTAATACTGATCGTTGGGATTTAATTAAAAAAATGTTTCCTGAAAGAGTTAAACGAAGATTGGATGGTCTAGATGATCTTGATTCCAGTTTTGATGAGTATTATGGTTTGTTAGCTTTATTTTTTTATTTTTTTTTGTCTGTTAAAGTTGCATATTTTATAATACGACATAAATTGTATCAATGGATATATATATATATATATATATATATATATATATATATATATATTATATATATATATATATATATATATATATATATATATATATATATATATATATATATATATATATATATATATATATATATATATATATATATAACACATATAGAGGAGCCGCATACCATATTTTCAGATTTTTAAGATGTCAAAACTAAATCATTTATTTTAGGGGTTGGATAATTTGCAGTTTGGTATTTAGAAAAATTATTTCTGATTACGTTCTTTGTATGGTTAATGAAATAGGTTTGAATTCTTATTGCACTATTGCTAGGATTTCCATTGATAGTGGACAGGGTTTTCTTAAATGTGTTATAAATGTTTTTGATCCACTATGTAGGCATACAACTTCAGAAAGTCTTGATGATTCCGGTGTAAAAAGATAATTGGTTTTGGCTTTAGTTGAAGATGTTTTAGAGCATAATGTTAATCTTAGCAAACTATTGAAACCACTAGCTCTGAGTGATGTAAAATATTCAATAGCATTGAATATTTTACACTGTGGTCTGATTTTGATTTGTGGCTAAAGTCAAGTTATATAATCTTTAGAGGTTACCACGGAACTGGTTTGGATGGTAACAATTCACATAGACTTTTAGATAAATTAGATAATTTAGAAGTTAACCTTTTAAGTGCAGCCTCTATATTACCAATATGATATTTCTCTAACCTGCAGTTAGCTGTCTTAGAAAGTTTTCAATTATTAAAACAAAAGGTTTTAGCATGTTTATGGGAGAATCTATTGCTGAATCAGTTATAGGTTTTAAAAAAGCTTTCAAAAATCTACAGCTTCATCTTCCGGAAAAGTTTAACTACCAATTAAATATTAGCTGGAAAGTTCATATTTAGTATCTCCTCTTGTTCTTTCTCTTCAGTATAGTCAGTTTGGGCTTGGCGTATATTCCGAGCAAGTAGGAGAAAGTGCTCACTACTATCACTATCAAGTATGGAGGCGATACAAGAGTCGTTTGGAACACAATGATTATGCAAAACAGCTTAAGAAAAGTGTGATTTAGTTTTGTATAAACAGTTTTAAGTAGTTCTTTTCTCTCCTTTTTTAAATTTTAAATAATTGTGATTTTTGAAATGATTGAATTATTTTATAAAGAATTTCAATATTGCATGTTAAACTGTTACATTTATTGCTGTTAAATTAGGTAACTGAACATTTTTCAGCTGTATTTTTGCATCTACAAAGTCACAAAAATCATTAATACCTACTTTAAACTTTAAAATTTCACATAATTTTCTAACCATGTCTTCACCTTCTAGCCATGGTGACATAATTTTATCTAATGACCAGGTAGAAGGGTCTATAATCTTGAAGAGCTGCACAAATTTTTCATAGTTATCAGTGTCATTGTTGTCATTCTTATCCTCATCGATATTTATATGACTAGCTGATAAAAGTCTTGCTTTCATATTCTTTGCCACACTATTTAATAATTGCTCTCTGGGAAGAGACACAAATTTATTATTGTAATCAAATGGTATGCATTTGAACTCATTTGATGAAATTAAATTTTGAACTTTTTTTCATAGATACCAAAATTATCATTCTTGTGTAGTTCTATAGCTCCTATTGAGCGCTTAATTAATTGATCAGCTTTAGATATGGTAATTTTTCTTGATTGTAGCACATTGGATAGTATTGAAAATTCTTCTAAGACATCTATCATTCAAGCTAAATCTTCAATAAAATGTGTATTAGCTAATCTTTTGGCCATTCCTGAATTTGATTTAGACTGAATAAAATGTTTATACAAAGTTTATACAAGCTCTCCACGCAGCTGTAGCTGCTCGTAAGCTACAGGAGCCCAATGAGGTCCAAAAATGCGACCAATTTTTATTGATTCTAGGTTCAAATCACTAGAAATAGTTTCCAATTCAGCTTCGTTTTTATTTGACTGATGATATATCGCATATATTTTGTCTATAAATATTTTAAAATGATTTACTTGTTTATGGAATTCTCTAGTGCCAATTGCAATTGGTGATTCAAACAATGCCACATGATTATATTTGGAAACATTTCAGTTAATTTTGTGGCTAATCCAGATTTTCTTCCTAACATTGTTGATGCACCATCTGAACAGAATCCTATGAGATTTCTTTGTATATAATTTTTATCAAATCTATAGTAAGTAAGACAGTCTATTAAGGTCATAAAAATATTTTCGGCAGTTGTTGACGTCAATTCTTTTAAGTCTATGAAAATCAAGAGAGGTTCAATTGCAGACTGTACTTTAAACTGTAAATATAGTACCAAAGTACTTTTTTTAGCAAGTGTAGAAGCTTCATCAATTATGATACAAATTTTTGAATTTTGATTGATAATGTTTTTAAAAACAGTTTTATTAATCTGCATCGCAATATTTTCAACAATTCTAGTGGCAGTGCATCTGGAATGTAAACAATTTCCTATATTAACACCATTTTTTTCTTGTAATTCCAAAGCTACTTCTATATCAGACAATGCTCTGTTTCGTTTAACAAGACTCTAAACTGTAATGTTAATTGCTTCAGAATTTAATATTTTAACTACATTTGGTATAACATGTTTGTAAGATTGAATAATTTTTTCTTGAATTTTTAAATGTGAGCATGAAGTGGAATGTTCTTTAATTTTTTTGCGTAGAGAAGCTTGCCTTGTGTCTTTTTTCGTTCCATTAGGAATTATAGAACATGAAATCCACTCATTTGATACGTGAATATGTTTTTTGTTTTCTATTCCTATGGTTTTTGTTTTTCAACAGTCTTTACAACCTAATTTGCCATCTTTTGCCATTAACTATTTATATTGTTCTATGAACAAACTCACTTGTTTTTCTGTCCAACAATCTGGTAGTTGACTATTGCATACTGTGCATGATTTCAATAATATTGTAGATGATGAACATGAAGCTGATGTTTTATTTGAATTTGATTGTATAGGTTTCAATATCTGCAGAATTTATTGTTTTCTCTAGTATTTCTTCATTGAGTTTTATTATTTTGACATTTACAAAGGACAATAAATTTCCTTGCACTCTCTTCATTTTTTAATTAAAAAAAATTATATACAAATAATAATTTACACTTGTTTATTTATGTAAACTAAAAATTTAATTTTATTTATATTATTTAACTTAGCAATTAGACTAGTTAATTGTATTTTGTCAATTCAGTAAACAAAGGAAGTTTTTATAGTAAATATAATCTTAGGGATTGCATCTCGAAATTGAAATTCAAAAATTCCGGAATATAGTTCATGAATTTCGGAAATTTTACTAGCGAATTCCGAAATTAAAATTAATTTTTTCGTTCCCTATCCAACTTTTAAATTGTGTTTTTGTTTGTTTACATATAAATGTTCTACATTTTAATTCTATAAGAAGACATAAAGAAAAAATAAGCTAAATTACAACTATTCTGCATAATACAAGTAGACAGAAAACATTCCCAAAAACAAATGAAATGAAGACATGACAATGTCATGTCTTCATTTCATTTGAAAATTTCAAAAGATTTCAATTGTAATTGTTTATTACATTTCGTATTTTACATACACACATGATGTGTGTATTGTGTTGCGCACATGATATGTGTGCGAGTGTCGCACATCAGCGCGATGTGCATATTTTGCATAAACATACTATTAAAATGGCTTATTTTTGGTTTTAGAGTTAATTTAAGAAGCGGCTCGCCGAGTTTCAAAAATTTTAACAACCGCTTGCGCAAGCCAGACCGAGGCGGCTCCATCCCAATTTGATTTTAGGTAAAAACTATTTTAAAAAAAATGTTTAACAGTTAGTTTAGATTAAAAGTTATTTTAAAACACTTACCTAAACCCAATATTATTAACTAAACAAAAAAAATTAAACCAAAATTTACCCTGGCAGTCTCAGGAGAGCACAGTGGGTCTTGAGAAACTCCTAAAATTTTTTATTTAAAAAATTTTCAAAATTCAGACTTTCACAGGAAGATGTGCGATTTCACGTTTTTATATGACCACGCCAAAAAAAATGTTTTAACGATTTGATTACGACATATTTTTTAAATTTAAAAACGCGCTACAAAAACTTACCTAAACTTATCTGAAAAAAAATAAATAAACATTAACAAAAGAGAAATTTAAAAAAATACTTAGTTAAAGCAAAAACACAAAAAAATTAATATATATATATATATATATATATATATATATATATATATATATATATATATATATATATATATATATATATATATATATATATATATATATATATATATATATATATATATATATATATATATATATATATATATATATATAACGCAACTAAAACAAAACTCATCAAACTAAAGTGCTTAGTCTATTTAATTTACGCATTAAAAAACCTTTTCAATCTTAGTTTCAACATTTTATATATTTTTTATTTATTTAATATGTTCAAAAGTTAAATATTTCTTATAAAAAATACATAGTTATACAAATAAAATAAAAAAATATTTTATTAATACTTTTTTTTAAATTAATTAGTGTTTTTTTTACTTCATCAAAAGCGTTTCAATAATATAAATGCATTTTAGATCAAACTTATTAAATTGTAACGGTTTTCTTAAACTTTTTAACGAAATTTTGTTTATCTTTTTAAATGCATTAACTTTAACTATTCTTATATTTAAATTCGTTAAAGAGACTTTCGTAGTCGTAGAATGTCATCGTTTATAAAAACAAAACAATTTTTTATTTTTTAATAAGATTTATTTTAGAAATGAACACTTAAACAATTTATATGTTTTAAATTAAAAAATTATATACAACTGTCAATTATATTAAAAAAACAAAACTTAATAAACAGTAAATTGTTACTTTATTTAAAATAGTTTCGCTAATATAAAAACATTTGTTAAGAAGTT